TGTGGCGACCTTTAACCCCGAAACCAACTTTTCTCCGGACGGGGAGGCGGGGGCGCGGCCGAGGGGAGACCCGGGGGCTCCGCCCATGGGGAAGGGTTGGGGGAAATCTTAGCCCTGGGAACCTGCGGTCGTGCCCCCGAATCTGGCCGCTGCCCGATGGCCCTCAGCCCACCTGCGGGGTCGCGCGCGCCCGGCCCGTCCTTCCCAGGAAGCATCACAACCTCGCTGAGAATTAACTTTATTAACGAGGTGCTGTCTGCAAGTCAGCATCTCATAAAGTCCATAGTAGGCACTTAGTGGAGACAGCTGTTGACTTGATTTAGGAAAGGATGAGAGTTTTTAGTGGGGAGAGGGGAAGGACAGGAGAAGTAGACCTCAGACTACCCTGGTTTTCTCCCTGTCCCCCCTCTGATGTGCTTTCCTGCCCACAGGGATACCCACCCACCATCCCAGGGTCTACAACATCCACAGTCGAAATGTCACCCGGTACCCTGCCAATTCCATCGTTGTCGTTGGAGGCTGCCCTGTCTGCAGGTATGTCACAGGCCTGGGGGCCCCAGGAGCCTCTAAGGACACACTCAGAACCTCATAAAGGCAGGGTTGTTGGGGGAGGCGGTCAGATTTGAGACAAGCCACTGACCTGGGGTGTGGGAGAGAGTGGGTTCACCTGTCTTTGGATGGGAACATGTTTCATGGGGTGGAGGGGGCTGGGTCCCCTTTCCTGGGGAGTTGAGTGCTTCTGGGGCCATTGAGTCCCAAGTGGGTGGGATGCGGAAATGTTAGTAGTGGACTGACATCTGTGGTTTTGGTACTTGCAGGTTTGCTCTGCAGTTGATTCTCAAACGTGGTGAAAGGTTCTCTTTTCCTGGGAAGGGTGGGAAGTGCGTGGGCAGGAGAGCCCTGACTCAGATGGCCAGTGTGGTCCGGGAGCTGGATGGAGGTCCAGGGAGCCTGGGAGCTGCGCTGTAAGGGCTACCTTGTCCCCATCAGGGCCGTTAGCTGGACCAGGACAGAAATGCCGAGGTTCTCTGGGGTGGGAGCAATACTGCGTTTTCTCAATCTGGAGCCTCCAGAATCCTCTCACGACTGCTTTTATAGCGCGTGAGATGCAACGACGAGAGACTTGTTCTGTGTGGGTCTTGAGGATTCACATAAGACCTGGTTTCTGCCCTTGGTGGATTCCAGTGCGCGGACAGCTTAGAAAGTCAGGGAAGGCTTAGCAAGGACTGGGTGTTCAGCCTGTGCGGGAGGAGGAAGTTGAAGTTTCTGAGATGGTATTGAGAAACTCAGGTTTACACTGAGACTTAATTTCAAAAGTGTATTTGGAAGTCCCAGAGTGGAGTCAAGGGGAAGTTAACGATTTCAGTCATAGCAGGGCAGCTGTGGGAGACGAGGGCCTGGAAAGAGGAGGACGTCAGAAATGGGGTGGGAGGCTGGACTCTGGAGCCCACCGTGTGCTTAATAAGGGGGCTGTGGGCAGGGGAGAGCCTCTGGGCTGCATGCAAACCCAAAACAGTGTCTCTGACACCACTGGTGAAACTCTGGCCTTTGGAGAATGTGGGGAGGAGGATAGCTGGTGGCCTCTAGAAAGTTGCTTTACCCTCAGCACCTGGGGGCGTCAGAACTGTTGGGGTTGAAGGCATGTGGTGGGCTTGGAGACAGGTGTGTGTATGTATGTACTGGGAGGCTGGTCATGTGCTGCCGGGCAGGGCAAGAGTCAACTCTTGGTCCCCTGTGGAGAGAGCCGCTGGCAATGCTGGGAAGATGCACAGAGAGGTGGCTGCTATGCTTGGCTTTGAGGCTGGTCCTAGGCGCTCAGAGCGCTGCTGTGTCCAGGGTCCTTCTGTCCCCACGCAGCTCAGGTTGGGGATTCCGAGGGTCTATTTTGAGGGAAAGAGGACTGGTGTTGAGTGATTTCCAAGTGTCAGGAGGGGCGTCAGGCTGGCAGTCAAGGCGGATCAGGGTCACCTGGAGCAGAGTCATCAGGCTGGGGTTCCAGTGTCTCCTGCAGTGCCTGGCCTGCCAGAGAAGGGGGCTCAGATCCTGGCCTTCCCCGCTACTAGCTGGGCCCACTTCCCCATCTGAGAAATGGGGTGTCTGATGGGATGCTCTGAGGCTCTTGCTGGCCAGAGCCCCTGAGTGCAGAGGAGCGGAGACCAGCAGATACCCCTGGGGAGCAGGGGGAGCTTCCAGGCTGCTGCTGGGCGGGGCGCATTTCCCTGATCTCTCCCTTCCCCTCGGATGGGACCTGTGTCATGTCATCGGAGGCCCGTGGCTTCTGCTTCTCGGCTCCTGGTTGCACAAAATGTGGATCAGGCTCTCTACTCTTCTGGGGAGAGTCTTGGGGTTACAGCGGCCCAAAAGCAAGGGGTGGGGTACCTACATCTGGGAACTGGCGTCTTCCTTTTTGTGTTGCGATTGCTGTCCTCCCTGCCTCTGGGTGGTGGATGCAGCGAGGAGACGTGGGTCCTCTGAGGACAAGTGTGGGGTCCAAGTTGGGACCAGACACTGTGACTCCCTCCGAGGCGTGTCCTCCGTGCCCTCCCCCCCGTCTGGGTTGAGAAGGACAGGCCCAAGCAGTGAGGGCCCCCCTGGTGCTTGGGTCTTCACGCAGGGGTGTCCCGGCCCTCTGTCTGCTGGGGGGCTGGGGGCAGGGGAGGTGGGCAGCCGGAGAGGCTGGATGCTTCCCATGAGGCTCTGCGGTGGTTTGGAAGTTGGGGTGCAGTCCTGGGGACAGTTGGTGTGGCCTCTGTCTGTCTGGTGTTGTGGGGCTGGGAGACAGGCTTTTCACATGACCGCGCTTCCTCCTTTTCTGTCCAGCTCGCCTGGCTCTGTCCCCGTCCCTCCCTGGGAGCTTGGCAGGAATGTGTCCGAGTCACACGTCTGCGATTCCCTCCGAGGCCTGGCGTAAGAGGCCTGTGCCACTTGTCACTTTGCCACCGTCTGCGCCTTCCGTTAAGCAGCCTGACCCTATCTTCCCCTTTTAGTCATTACGAGAGCTTTTCTCTTGACCCTGGCAGATGGGTGAATGTGCGCCTCGTCTGTTTGGACCAAGCATTGCCTCGGCCGGCGGGGCTTCGGCAGGCCTTGGGCTTCTCTGGAGCTGTCCTGCCCGAGGGTGTGGGCTGTCCCTGGATGTGGGGTGAGGGGGCAGCACTGTGGGTCTGGGGGCCTTGGGCTGTGGAGAGGGCTCCCTGGGCAGTGCGGGTCAGAGGCTGGAGGGTGCGTTGAGCAGCAGGTGTGGGGCCCGGCTGTCCACAGCTCCCTGCTGGCCCTGGCTGGGTGTCACTGGGTGTCTGGTCTCGGGGGTGACCAGAGAGGTAGGGAATCCGGGAATGGGTAGGGTCTTGGAAGCCGAGAAGGGGGCTCAAGGAGCAGCTGTCAAGGTCAGGTGCTGCCCAGGGGCCAGGGCAGTACTGGAGCCAGGGCTTGGCCTTGCCCCGAGGAGTGGGCCCTCCCTGGCCTGGGTGGGGAGCCGTAGACGGCCGGGCAGGGCTCGTGCCCCGGGCTGTCCTGGGCAGGGTGTGCAGGCCATGGGGGCCCAGCGCTGGCCGTCATTGCTGCTCCTCCAGGGACCGAGCACCCGTGGCCTGTGCAGCGCAGCTGCCCCGGACTGAGCCTGGGGTCTGCTGAGTCTCGGGCAGGCCTTGCTGCCTCGTAGGCCTCCTGCTGCAGGCAGAGCTGTGCCCAGCATCTGCCGGGGCTTCCTGGCTGTCAGGCTGGCTTGGAACCGGCCATCAAGTGGCCGGCGGCTCTGTGAGGAGGTCCTGAGAACCACCCCTGACGAGGCAGCTCCTGTCCCCATGGGAGGCCTGTCTGTAGTGGGGACCCTGGGACAGCTGGAGGTGGGGCACATGTGTCTCCTGAGAGGGCGAGATCTGACCTGGGCTCGGGAAGGGGCTGGCCAGGTGCTTTCGGGCATCTCGCCCCCACCCCGGCCCGGGCCCCGGAGGAAGTCCTCTGCTCCCCTCTTCCTAGGAGGCTTGTCGGGGTCATTCCCTGGGCTGGGTCCTGCCTTGAGGCCGCCCTGTGCTGGGAGAAGAGAGTACTTGGGGATGAGCCAGGGGGGCTGCTGGCACTAGCTTTGGGGGTGCTCAGAGGGTGGGGAGGCCCTGGCGCTCGCTGCCTGAACAAGGCTCTGGGCTCCAGCTTCCTGTAAGCAGGACAGGATGGGATGGGGAGGAAGGGAGGACGCTCTGAGGAAACCGGAGGTGGTGAGGATGGGACTCCTCCTGGGACCTGCCCTGGGACGCACTCTCTGGAGACCTGAGACACGGGGGCTGTGGGGCCTCCGTCATCCTTGTCCTGGGGCCCCTCCCAGGCTGGCGCCCTGAACGGATGGATGTCCGTGGAACTGAGTGGGCACCTTATCCGTAAGGCCAGAGTCGGTTAAGTAAGTGTTTTCAGAATTAGTCAGTTCCCTAATTTCTCCAGCTTCCATGTCCTCCCCACCCCCACTGCTCAGGGATGGGGGCAGGGCTTCCAACCACGGCAGGGCCCCTTGTTCAGTTTGGATCCTGAGCCAGTTGAAGAGTTGAAACTCGCCTTGAACTGATGGGGGGTTTTGGGGGGTTTGGAGAGGAAGAGAGGCCGGGTCGAGTGGGAGAGGCTGGCAGGAGGGGCAGGGGGGTCCCCTCCCTCCCCCGCGGCCCCACAGGGACGGGTCTGCTCTACAGCCTGGGGATGCTGCTTCAGGATTGGTCTGAGACCAGATTATGTTTCTCGGTTGAAGATTTTGGATTTTTAAAAACTGTAAAGCACGCCAACACTGCTCTTCAGGACTGGGTGGTACCCAGAGTCAAACATTAACACTTCTGCAGCAAGACACAAATACTCCCATTAAGTGGGTAAATTAACACATCACTTCAGGTCACATGTGGCTGCCAGGTGACTGTTACAGGTTTAGAAAGGGTTGCTTTCAGAGCTGTTGACATTTGGAATCGTGGATGAGAGGTGTGGACTCTCGGCCTGGCAGGTGTGGTGCCTGCGGACTGACCCTGCTCTCGGAGGCCCCTGCTGGCCAGAAAGATCTGGTCTCGGTTCCTTGTCCCTCGGGCTGGGAAGCTCTGGGGGTGGGGGTGGGGGTGTCGGGACGTGGTTCTCAGTGAAGGAGTCTGGGTCTGGAGCAGACCTGCTGGCACCTCCCTCGCTGCTGAAGGGAAATGCCTTCACTCTTCCCAGAGACGTGAGGAGGCCCGACAGCCTTCTCAGAGCCGGGTGGGGGTGAATGGGGAGAGGGCTGGGGTCTTGTCGGCGTCAGACCCGGACTCCTGACAAGGTGTTGGAAGCCGCAGCTGCCAACTCTGCTCTGGCTCGAGTGAGTGATGGACCTGGACAGAAAAGCTTTAGGGCTGGTCTGCAGTGGGCTCTGTTCCTCTCACCTGGGGTGCAGAGGTGGGCGGGGAGGGCCCAGATGAGAGGGACCAGCCCTCCTGGGCTTCCCCAGCTTCACACAGTGTAGACCACAGGTTGGGGTCTGGGTTGAGAATTAGGGAAGAGGCAGGTGGGGGTTGCTGCCGTTTGATGCTTGACCCCAGGGGACAGGAGCATGTCTCAGACGGGACAGTTCATGTGGACGCAGGCAGCACAGGGCAAGCCCCCTCCCCTCCACTGTGGGGAGACGGTGGCTGCTTGGAGGGCTGCTCCAGCCCCAGGGCGCTGGGTGCCCATCTGCGCCCCCTCCAGGGCACTGAGGACAGCAGGGCAGGCCCCAGCCTCCTCCTGCCTTTGAGCAGACACACTGGGTCTAGGCTCTGCCTCTTAACAGCTTTGATCCTTACGTGAGATTCTGCGGAGTGATCGGCCTGGGTGGGCACCCAGTCAGGTGGGCACCCAGTCACTGTCTTTGGGCCTCAGTGGGCAGGATTCTCTTCTGGAAGGTTTTCGGCTGGCGCAGGTGACCAGCTGTGAGGCCTGGCTCACCTGTTTCCTCTGCTGTCCCCCTGGGCATTCTAAATGAACGTGCAAACCGGAGTGACTTTGGGATTTCAGCCGTAGGTGGGACGTCGGTGTAGACGCCAGGAGCGAGCAGGCGCGGAGCTCGGCGGGCCCGGCAGCGGGGGCAGCCGTGGTCTGGACTGGCTCGGGCAGGGGCGGCCATGCGGAGGGCTGAGGAGCGGTGTGCCGACCTGACAGCCTTTCTTGTACTTAGAAAGGGGGTGCCTGTCGCCAGACTTCGGTAGCAGTCTGTACGGGACATGGTGGCTCTGCTGAGGGATTCAGGCCGGCTGACAGGCTTCCCCTCAGAGTGGGGCCTAGCCTGTGCGCCGGCCGAGCCAGCCCAGCAGGCGTCTCTGCTGCAGGACTTCTCAGAGCCTTTCCTTAGCGACCACGTGTTGTGAGAGCGGCGGGTTCCCGCACGTGAGACCTGTCCTCTGCGCTCGGGCTCACGGGAGGTGCTGCTGGAGGGAACTGCCGGCCGGGCGGGCTGAGCTGGACCTGCCTCGGTGGGTCACAGCTTGTGGTCCCCCCGTGAACAGGAGCAGCTCCCGCTCGCGGAGGCCGAGCGGGAGTGACCGAGTCAGGGCCGCTTCGGCCTCTTGAGTCCCGAAGCCCCGTTACGGCACTTTCCTCCACACTTGTTTGCTGAGCTGACCTTCCTCCTCTCCCCCTGGGCTACCACGATGGGTGTGAGCATCCAGGGTTCTTGGCCGGGTTTGAAGATGGGGGCGCTGCGGTGTGGACAAGGACCAGGAAGTGGAGGACCATGGGGCGGGGTCCTCGGGGGCCAGTGTCCCTGCCAGGCCTGGCTCCTGTCCCCTCTAGCCCCCTCCTGTGTCCTTCCTCACTTCCTCCTTGGGGCCCATGGCAGCCTGGGGCGGCCAGTCTGGCAGGAGCGAAGCTTCTCTCTTTGGGGCCCAGCGGCTGGCATGGTTCTCATTCAGATACGGCCCCTGCTCCCCACCTTTGGGATCTTTGAAAATGATCTTAGAATTGGAGTGGTGACCTCAGGTCTCTGACTCTCTGGCACGAGGTCTAGGTGACGTCCCCAGGGGTCTTGGGATTAAATGTGCCCAGTAAAGGTAAATGTGACCTTTTCTAAAGAGGAAGCGTTGAGATGAAATTTCTCAAGATAAGTGACATTGTATGAACATGGCTGATTCTAGTCTTCCACTGTTGGTTTATAAATAACACCAAAATTCCAAACTATCACTATTTTTGTAATTTCCCTCTAGGGAATGGAAAAAAAATCTAAAACTTACCAGCATTGGGAAAAAATATCGTTAAGTGATCTGGTTTTCTTGGTCTTGTTTTTTCAGAGATGTAAGAGTTTTTATAGAAATGAGCACTTGCTGCTTGTTCCTTCTTTTGTAGGAAAAAACCCCTGGCAGGTTATATGGCAGCCAAGCGTTCTTGCCTTTATCAGTAGGTGGCGATGTCTCGAGAGTCTTCTCCCCTCTTCCTGCTCTCAGTGCAGGCATCGGTCGAGGCCGGCCTCCCACAGCTCTGGCGTCTCCAGGCCCGGGGGTGGGCTCTGAGGGAGGGGCTGCGTGATCGCCCGGAGGGGTCACGGCCTGGTGGGGTGGCAGGCCTTGGTCAGCCTAGGGCCCTAACCCATGTGCGCCTCTCTCTCTTGCAGAGTCGGGGTTCTGGAGGACTCCTTCACCTTCCTGGGCATCTTCTTGGCTATCGTCTTGTTCCCCTTTGGGTTCATCTGCTGTTTTGCCTTGAGGAAGCGAAGATGCCCCAACTGTGGAGCAAACTTTACTTAAAGGGAACAACACACCTGGCTTTCCTACACCCAGCTATCTTTTTCTAATGTAAATGTCGTGTACAATAGCTTTATTTGATTAAGCTTCAGGACTGTTTTGTAAAGTGCGGTGGGTGGATTGCGCGCTGTGGGCCGAGGTTTCGCTGTGGGCCGAGGTTTCACGGCACAGGGGTCGCGGGGTGTGGCTCCCAGGGTTAACGACAGCTCAATAAAGCACTGCTTTTATTTTTTGCAGTCTTCAATTTGAGAAAGGTGAGAAATACTGTTTTAAATAAATGAGATCCATACCATTGTTTACCTGTTTTGCTTATTCAGTTTGCACACTGCCACTTACAGAAATAAAGTTATGGAAAGCGTCACACACACACTAAAGAGACTAGAGTGACACATCCATTGCTCGGCTTCCACACCATCCACTTCATGCCTGATCTTCGGTTACTCGAGAGGCATTTACAGCTCAAAAAAACTACGTGTTTTCAGGTTTTTATTGTTGTAATGAAACATAATACCTTGACATTTATAGAGCATGCCCCTCAGTGCCCAGGAGCTAAGGCAAGCCCTGCCATCCTGTGTGAGGCAGGTGAGCGCCCACGGTAGTCCTTCTGTGGAGGTGTAGACCGGTGGGTGAGCCAGGCGGGCCTGCACACAGCCCAGTAACCCCAGGACCTGCCACAACCCTGTAACACAGCCAGAAGACCCCAAGCCATGGCGCTCTGGAGGCCGGGGCCACAGTGGGACACCCTTCCCCCTCCCTCCCTTATTAGCACTTTCAGAGCTGACACCTCACCGCCCCCACATACTGTAGACAACAAAGGGCTTCTGTGAACCTGACTCTAAAATGGTGAGAGGAGCGGTGGGCCTATGTGACTAAATTCGATTCGACTGTTCTCTTTGCGGCTGAAGCATCTCCAGGCAGGTGTGGTGTTGACACGTGGCCTGAGCCTGGGTCCCAGGAGCCCTCGTAGTCCTGCGTCATCTCTGTTGGTGGCGGGGTCACCTGTATGGCCGACCCAGCCAGGAGGTGGATGGGATCCAGAACCTCGAGTGTGTCACGCTTACATGGGTTCACTGTATTTGGCCTTGACCAATTTCAAGCTTACAGAAAAATGGTAACATTCATGGCAAAACCAAAGGAGCTGTGATCAGTGATAAGCCCCCTTCCCCGCCACACACAGGGAATGGCCCGGGTGTGGGTTTTCATCAGGGTCCTCCACTCCTCCAGGTTGGGCCTAGTCCCTGACATCCGGAGACAATCCCTGCCGCAGGCTCCGAGTCCCTCCCGCAGGAGCCCAGGCTCCGCGTGCGCCGTGGTGGGTCTCAGCTGAAATGCAGCCACCCCTGACGCCCCCCCCAGGTCCTCCCGGCTCAGCAAGGGCTGAGTGCAGTTTCAGTACCTGATTCAAAAGTGGAGAGCCCTGCAACCCGAGAGGTTTCAGAGTAGGTTAGTGACAGAGGCAGCTTTGGTCAACTAGCTTAGCAAGTTTCCACACGGGGAGCCCCAGATGCACGGTTACCCCACGGGCCAGGCCCGCGTGTGGTGCCTGGCATGTTTCCATCGGTCAGTCCAGATGGTAACTCAGAACTACCAGATTCAGTACCTCTTAGAAATTGTTCAAGTACTAATGTGGCTGTGATAGATAGGGACAGGCGAATGTCTCAGTGCTGTATCTTCAGTTATGTCTAAATTGCGGAAAGTTGGGGATTCCTACATGTGATTAAACAAAAAGTTTTAAGTTAAAAAATTAAGTTTTATACAGTCTCATAATTTATATTGCTTAAAATTAATTTGCATGCTGTGATGCAAATTTATACAGTATTTTCTTCAAACATCATAATGCTGTTTAAGAGCACATGCTTTATAAAATAAAACTGTGGTCTCATTTGCATTCAGGTGCAGAAAGCCAGTCATGAAAGCACAGACTATCCCTTATTCTGGCTATTAAAAAAATAATCATAGACTATTTTAAAAAATGATACAGTAAGGATTAGAACCAAATCTGTTTTTGGACAGAATAGGAAGAAAATGTTTTGAATGATCGACTAAACTATTCCTGATTCATCTTAAAGACAGGAATGCGTAAACCCAACTATGTTAAATTAGACAATGAATTGATTTGCTAGTGATACATTTAAAATCAGGCACCCTCTGGTGAAGCTTTCCAACAGCATAGCACTTATCAAACACATATACCAATCATCCTGCAAGTGAGAACTGAATGTGGAACCGGGAGACTTCCCTGGCCACCTTTTCATCGAATGATTGGTGCTGATCGATCATTTGTCACCGTCGGTCGGAGTTTCACAGTCGCAAAGGGGTTTTCTCCACTGTGGGGAGGAGAGAAATATTGGCAGAAATACGAGACGGGAATTTGATGTGGAAAGAGCTAATAACCAGGGCTCCTGCTCGGTCAAATTATGGAATATGTGAGTCTTGCTCTGTGACAGTCCTCCCCATGCCACGTGTTATGGAACTATCCAGAGTGTAAAAATATTTTTGACAGAGGAGAGCCCCCCTCTCTAGTCCTATATGGGGCGGGGGTGCTGGGCTCTGGGAGAGCCACATAGGACGGGGGCTGGGTTAGTAAGCTGCCAAACGCAGCGTGTGACCAGGGCCCTCCCTTCTGGATCAGCCAGATGCTGGGCGGGCCCCCCAGGCTCCCCAGAGGACCCCACAGGCCCGAGGCCTTTTTCAGGATCAGGCCCCCTGGGCTGTGCAAGGGGGAAGACCCTTCCAGGGGCCACCACAGGCCCCTCACCCACAGGGGTGGGCCACCTGGAGCGCGAAGGGCTCTGTGGAGGAGTTCACGTACCTGAGGAAAGGAGGCTTTGCAATCCCGTTTGCATCACTCTGTGAGAGAGAGAAAGATGAAATTTGTGAAAGGCTCATGAAACTGGGACATTTTTAACAGGAGCCGAAGGTAAAGACATCAGAAGCCTAAGGGACTGTTTAAAGCTATGCAAGTTTGAAAGTGACCCGGAGTCAGCTCGCTGGAGATGACACATCTAAACCCACTCGGAAGGATAAGGGCAAGAGCAGAGAATGGTCTAAAGGCCACTGAGGGACCCTCGCATATGCTGGACCATCCTGGAGGAAAAAAGCAGGGTCACTGGCCACTCAGGGGCAAAACCGTAGTGACTGTGGCTTTTTGGGAGCCCGATCCTGAATGATGCCACGAGAAACAGTAAGGAGAAAACCTTGCTGGGATTTGGTGCCCACACTGCTAGCCAGAGACCGGGTAGGAAGTCCTGTCAAAAGTGCAGGAAAGAAGGCGGACCAGGGCAAGCACTGTCTTTCCCTGCAGGGCCTCACGGAGCCCCAGCCCCAGTCCCGGAGATGCGGGTTGCCCAGTGTGGCCAGGGGCCCAGTGTGTCTGCCTTCTTCCCTTTGTTCTACAAAGAACCTGCTTGAAATCTGCTCTGCCGCTGTTTTTTTTGGGGGGTGGTGGGTAGGATTAGGTTTGTTTATGTTGAGAGGAGGATTGAACAGCCCAGGACCTCATGGGTGCTAGGCAGGCGCTCTACCACTTGAGCTATACCCTCCCCTGCTCTGCTGTTGTAAGAAATCACTGGCCTGAGCTGGCGGGCTTACTCAGATGGCCGCCCAGGAGAGGGCAGTGTGACGCCGTCTGCCTGACGGGCCACCAGTCCCGGCAGGCCAGCCCTGACTGTCATGAGAGCTCCCAGGCCTCCCCAGGGTGTTAGGATGCACAGACCCCTGAGTTCCTCTCACTTCCCATTGCTAACCCGGGGTTGAAGGCCATGCTTGGACGGGGAAGCCGGGCCAGTCTCCTTCGGGATGGCCTACCTTGGTGTTGGAGGTACACTCTCAAGGCAGAAGAGGGATTGGGGGCACCGGGGCTGCTTCGGACTTGCACTTGCTGTCTCCAGGCCTCTCACACATTGACCTTGAACCTGGGGCCAGCAAGGTTGTCCTGGGGGGAGCCCCAGCACTAGGAGGCAGGCAGCCCGGTGCCCTGATTCAGTGTCTGCTTCCCATCACTGAAGCACAGAGCTGTGGCCCTGCTTATTAGCACATTCTAGTAGGGCTTTAAATGGCTGCAAAATGAGTTTTCCCCACAGGACACCCTGGGCTTCCTCAGCAGGCCTTGCTGTAAGGTGTTTCTGGTATGACATTCATGCTATAGGGTAATTAAGGGCTAATTGATGACGTATTTTTAAAAATACACCAGGATGCCTCTCCTGCAGTCCCACACACCCTCACCCAGCAGAAGGCCCGGAGCAGGCGCCCCCAGGCTGTGAAAGGCCTTTTGTGGCTGTGCGTCAGGGGGAGGGCGGCGGCACCCCCTGCCCACCCCCGCGCCCAGAAAGCGTCTTTTGTCAAGTCAGACTCCCCAGGCCGGGGTCCACAGGGTGTGTGCACCCACACTCACTGGAAACCACCTTTCTGCCTTTCCTTGGGGCAGAACACTGTCCCTCCCCCGTGCACCCTCAATTTGAGGAAGGCTCTCTGCTCCCTGAACTGGGAGCCAGAGACAACCCACCCGCAGACCCCCTTCTGCCCTCAGGGCAGAAACCTCGGAGCCCCGACTGAACTTTAAAACAAGCTTAGCCATGTTTTCTCAAGCTGTGTCCTCTGGGTGACTGACATTTGAGAGAAACAAAACCAAGTCCAGCCCTGGCAGTAAAGTGGCAAGAAGTAACAGCCTGTGCTGTGAGGAAGGAGGGCAGAACAACTCAAGACGGCAGCCTGAAGCCATCTCATGTCGGGGCACCTGGGTCCTGGTGTGCCCCGCACCCGGGCACTGGGACATCCACCAGGATGCTCGGAGCAGCCCTGCCCTAACAGCCCAGACATCCACCAACAGAGAGGTGACGGCTCCTATGTCTCAAGAGCGCCCAGGGCTGCCCCCTTCCCTGTGCTTTCACAGGTGCAGACCCCGGCGCTCCCCGACAAGCCCCTGCGCACGGATCTCAGAGGCAGTTTCCCAGAAAACCCAGCCTGTGACTGCCATGCAGGTCACCTTCCCCCTCTGTCCCTTGCCTTGTTAGTTAACTCTCTACAGATCTTCTATCATGGATATTTTTGTTTATGCCTCATTTTCTGCTTCTTATCAGTAAAATGCAAGTTCCAGCCAAGCCACGGCCAGGCACTCGGAAGACAGTTGTCAAAGGGACTGATGCGGTGACTCACGGCCTCTCTTTCTTACAGGGCTGTCAAGGATCACAGAGAATGTCCACAGTGTTTACACGACATGCTTTCTGAAGATGTAATGATTAAATGACCACTCTCAGCCTCAACCCTTCCTTCAGAAAACAATATGAAAACTGAAGAAAATGCAGAAAAATGTGATTAAACGACTAAAGGACTGCAGACGTGACTGAGAGCGAGGAGAGATTAAAACCTGATATAGTCTGGCAAACAATGGACCTACTGTGTGTAAACTGTCATTTACAGACAAAATAAAAACAAAAAAAGGACTGAGGTTAAGGAGGTTGAAAGGCTCTGGGACGCTCAGAGAAAGTGTCACTAGCCCGAAGGTCGCCACCTTCCTGCTCCGAGGAAAGGCACCCACACCCGCGTCCAGGGCCCGCGCTCAGATCTGGGTACCGGGCCTCACGCTGCGGCTGTACTCACGGGAGACGACACGGTTTCTGGTTTGGACACCGGTGCTTTAAAGGCACAAGTGTTCTGGGAAGCATCCACTTTCTTATCTGCAGCTGCTCCCGCGGACAAACATTCCAAGTAGTCAGGTGGGGGGATGACCACACTGCTCTTCTCAGCCAAGTTCACGGTGCTCACACTCCGCACCGGTGCCGAGCTACCGAGCAAAATCAGAGGATATGAGTTAGATGAGATCCTGCCCCCCGCACCCCAAACATCCTGAATCTCCTACGGCCGGAACTGTGATGGATTAATAATCCACAATAGCGAGAGAGGAGATTATAACACACACACACACACAGTATACACAACACTGCAGTGTTCCTGCTGGTTGATAAATGCACACTCGAAAGACATTCTTTAAAAGACATGACAAAAAGAAAAGGAGAGGAAAACTAGCTCAGTGAGGGGCAGACTCTGGATTAATTGAAGGACTTCCGTAAGAAAATGGAGCAAAAGTCTTAGCAAAAGCATTAAGCAGTTTAGATGAAAAAACTCAGAAATGTAACATCCTAAAAATATTTAGTTTCATTTCTTGGCCCAGTGGCAGTCTAGCTCTGAGCAAGTATAATGGAAGGACTTCGGGGGCGTCAAGTGTGGTGCTGAAGGTCCGCGGGGATAGCGGGATGGGTGAGGAGGTTCTGCTGTGACCCGGGAAATACTGCGGCCTGGCCGCTTGTGGTAAGTCTGTGACATGTTCAGTTTGGACATGTTTCTGAGGACCCATGGGACAGCCAGCTAGTACACATGTAAATACTCACGTGTAGGCCCGGGGAAGATCTCCTGGGGTCGAGTCTTGGCTCCACCACTTCCAGCTCCTTGAGCAAGTTACTAAACCTTTTTATGCCTCAGTTTCCTCAATTTTAAAGTAGGGACCAACCTCATAAGGTTGCTATGAGCATTAATGACCTAATCCCTGTAAGGCACTGTGGACAGTTTCTAAGTCAGGACGATAATCACCACCATCTGGCTCAGAATACAGGTTTGGGGGTTGTCTGCACAGAGGGGCTACGTCAAGTCCATGGATGTAATTCATGCCGTGGGAGCGCACACGATAGCCCAGGAGGTACAGAACAGGAAAGAGGACCGAGGGCAGGTCCCGAGGACACCTATGTTTAAGCAGTGGGCAGAGGAGAGGCCTGAAAGGAGACAGAGTGGATGGCCAGTGAGGTGGGAGGAAAATAAAGAGTGCAAGGTCAAGAGACCCAGGCACCCAGTGTTCACCAGTGTTGAAAGCTGCTGAGTATGACAGAGATGGAAAAGGGGCATTTAGCAGCAGTGGGTGGTGGGAGTCGGGAGAGCGGTTCCCAGGCTGAAGGGCAGGGTCTGGGGTGCGTCTTCGCCGCAGACAGGAAAGCGCTGGGACAACAGAAGTCACGAGGGAGCAGCCACGGGGCAGCAGCGCCGCCCGCCTCGCCAAGCCCTCCGCGCTCACGGGGCTCTGCTGCGAGCCCAGGCGGAAGGGACCCGCCTGGGAACCGGAGGGCAAGGCCGGGGAGCGCCGCAGTCCTACCTCGGCGCGGGTGCGCTCGCGGCCTCCGGCGTGGGCTCCTCCAGCGCCTTCGTGTACGAGGATGGGAACCAGCCCCTCCTGCGGGAGAAGAGGAAAAGGACCCGCTGTGGCGCCAGTGGCGACAAGCCCACAACAAACACACCAGTGAATGGCGCAGGCAGGCCGGGCCACCCCTACCACATTCCACCCCGTGTCTTATCTACCCGTGAATTTTATTCGGATTTCTTTTTTGCCTTTTCCTCCGTATTGGTTTTACTTAATACCTGAAATAATTCAACCTACCTACGGTAAGGCTTGTGCACAAAGAGTTGAAATAATGATGCTGGTATTTAAACTATTTATGTGCTAAATCTTAAAGTGTGTCTTGAGAAATCAGAAGTCACACTAAAAAAAAAAGCATTTAATTTAAACCTACTTTCAGAGGTGACTTGATCTAACGACCTTTTCAAGCATCAAATTCACATATGCGCATGCATACAGAAAACAGCCTGGGAATAACCAGGAGCAGGGACACCGCAGTTAACTGAGCTGGAGCTACAACTACAACACCTGCTTCACTGTGCCTCAGACTCTAAGCTGCCGCTGACGGAAGAGACAGCAGCTCTTCCAGCGCCGGCCGTAGGCCCTGCATGGACAGCCCCGTCCTGAGACTCACGCTTTGGTGGTGTCATGCTCTCCGTAAAGCCAGCCGTCTTTCTCCTCGGAGATGAGCAGCGTGATGACGTCTCCTTGCTGGAAGCTAAGTAAGGTCTGGTTAGTGCCGGCAGTGTGCGGAAAAATGGTTTTCACTTTTTGCTTTTTCACCATGTTCAGCCCAGTTGCAACAGAAACTGATCGCTGTAAACTGGCGTCATCTGAAGAATCTGTTAAAAAGGAGCAGAGCAGCCGCAGCGTTTTCAGAGAAGGATAACCAGGCAAGCTCAAATGAGCAAGCCCCAGAAGACCACCCGTTTCCGTCTCGCTGGCACACTCCAACTGCAACACCAACCGGGTTATAGTTCCACGCCTTTGCCTGGACAAACAAGGATGGCAAGGGACAGTAGCAGAGCCAAGGCCGAGGCTCTCAGAGGAGATCCTTGTGGCCAGAGGCTCTTTTCCAGCCCGAGAGGATAAAGCAGTGTATCCTCATCAAGCTTCACCTGCACCAACTGTCAGGATGGTTCTTAAAGAGGCGAACGGCCCCCCCGACCCAGCGGCCTGCTGCTCTCCTCCTCCTGGTCCCCAGTACACACCAGAGCGGCCGCATCAGGCATCTACTCGGACCAAACTGTCCAAGGCCTGTGCCACAGGGGAAGGAGAAAACAGGAAATGCATACGCTCTTGCTGCTGGGGCTGCTCACCTGCTCACCCAGGTGAGAGCGTGGTGGGGACGAGTCACGGGTGTTGAGCCCTCCCTCAGCACCAGCCCACACTCTCAGTGCTTCTCAGCACTGACGATGGTGCCATTGTCACCCACAGTGACCCTCCTGGGACCGTGGCTAGGACGTGGCAAAGCCAGGATCCAGACGCGAGTGGCCTGATGCCACGGCCCAGAACTGCACCGTGAGAAACTCTGTGCTGCACATTTCATGTCTCAAGTCAAATGCAGGCTGCTGTTTTCCACTTCAATGCACTGGAGATTTTTTTCCCAGATTTTTTCCACTCAAATTTTGCTAGCCTACTATTTACTTTACAGTAGGGCACTATCTCTTTCTGCATCATTCTTGCAAATTCTTAGTAGTTACAGTATAAACCTTGCTATCTCTTCAACACGCCGCATACTTAATTACCTTGGTTGTATTGAGTCCAGCAGTTGTCTCTTAGCTTTCACTGGTAAGTAACAAAGAGTCATCTGAATGATTGGGCCACATAGCACTGTGTATTTAACTTTATATTACGTATAACTTACAGTTCTTCAAAGGCAGGTGACCACAGACGATTGATCACCTTGGCAGCTGACATTCTGAAAGTCTCGTCCCTTCCCCAACAGCCCTGCTCGCCGCACAGTGTGACTGCCACGACCTTCCCACCGAGAGGGCCTGTGAGACCCCCAGACAGAGACGGGGGTCAGGCACCACGACAGTCTCGAGGTCCTGGGTGCCAGAGACTCTGTGTAGGCAGAGTGGAGCCTAACCAAAGTCCCCTGAAATGTCTAAACAATAACTGGTTCCGATTTATTGAAATGGAGTCAACAGGGTTGAGATTCAAGCAGTCAGAACTTGAGTCTCCAGAAAGCACGAAGTGCTGCTAGAGATGATGAAAAACACTGCTTGTAATTCAGACTAAACCTACTGGTAAGATTAATAGCCATAATTTTGTCATGTGAACTTCTATAGTTTGTTTCACAGAAAAAAAGGAATTTTATTACAATTACAATCAAATACGGAACAACAGCGTGAGGCTCTATTTCATTTATTTAAAAATATATCACCTTTCAGTAATATGTTCACTCTATATAAACATCAATCAGTGTGTAGAATTAGTAGGTGTCAAAGCAGTGAGTCATGTATCACATGGTTTTATAATAAAGCCAGATCTGTCTGGAGGTGTGAGGTCCCCCAAGGCCATGTCTAGAGTGCGCTACCACACATGCGTATTTCTGTCTATCTCAAGGCACTCTTATCCTAAATATTTACATAATTTTAAAGGTATTTTTAAAATAAATCAAACTAAGTATCTTACCTGTTGAATTATTTCTTCTTTCTGAATTCTGTGCAACCGTTGCTGGGTTATTAAACATATCAATCAAAGGGCTGGTAGTGGCTCTGGATGAAGGGGCCGAGGGAATCTTTGGTGAATATTTAGCAAGGGTGTCATAATCTCGCCCAACCTGTGAAAAAGTCCATATTAGTTTATCATTAGTATAACAGCAATGGAATTAGACAGGTTCCCAGGGCTGTCTGGCACTGCTTGCTTTAAACATTTTGAATGTATTGCTCCATCACTTTCTAACATTTTGTTTTCCTAAAAAGAAACCTCGTGTCAATGGGATTCTCTCTTCTTTGCAAGTAATCCATTTTTTTCCCTCCCTGAATTCTCTTTCGCTAACCTTCTGCAACCTATCGAGGCTCACCCAGGACTGTCCTGGCTGCTGTGTTAAAGGCCAGGCAGCGGCTTCTGCGGGAGTCTCTGCAGGGACCACCGTTAGAGCAGTGCAGGGGGAGAAGTGGTGGGAAACACCAGGCTATGCCCACAGACTGGTTGTGGCCTAAGACAGGGAGAGGGGCCGATGTTTGGTGTCTGAGCTCCCGGAAGGAGGAAGTCACCGCTTCCTGGACGGGGAAGATGTGGAGAAGCAGGTTTGGAGTGAGAGCATTGGTTACGTGGTTCTGGACAAGCCGAACTGGAGATGCGCATCAGACATCGAGCAGTGCTGAGTAGACAGGTGGATGCCCCTCCCGTGTCTCGACCCTCCTCAAACTAGGTTCATCTTTTTTGATTTCTTTTTTAAATCCTCTATTTTTAAACTGTATTTTGGGAGTTTTTTGGCTCAGTCTCCCAAGCAGTTCCATTCTGCTGAGCCCATCTATTGCTGATGGGTGTTTTTTGAGGGAAGGAAGGGGAAATAAAAAACAAAACTTTATAGAAAAAATTCAAACAGGTACAAAAGTAGAGAAAATAGCAGAATAAATCTCCATGTACCCAACACCTAGCTCCAACAATGATCAATTCATGGCCAATCTTGTGGCACATATGCCCCGTCCGTCTTCCCCCATGATTGGATTATTTTGAAGCAAATCTCTGATACATCATTTAACTACAAATAAATAATCCAATTTTAATTGTCCAAGGTGGCTGACTCTTCTCTGTGGATGTAAAGCCCTTTCATCTCTTTCTGAAGACTTCCCTTCTGACCTGCTGCCTCCATCACTGGTCATCCAGTTTTTATTTTGGTGCTTCTTTCTATGGTACTGGTTTTCCCCACTTGTTCAGTGACTGCCGGTTGTCTGTCATCTGTGAACTGTATGGCGGTCCCTGTTCTTTCTACTGCACACGGCAGTCTGTATTCCCTGTTCTCACAGCACGGACTGCCCCGGACCACCCACTCCCGGAAGCACACCCATCTCTTCCGCCCCAACATGCCCTCTGGTTAACAGACAAAAGTGCCTGCTGTTCAGCACAAGTGGGACAAGGGGGAGGGACTGCCCAGCCTAGAGGGTCTGGACCAGCTCCCCACCCAGCCGCAGAGAGGAACGCCCTGGCTTCTTCCCGCTTCCTGTATCCACTGGCTTCCTGCTCCACTCTCTGCAGAAATCTCGCCCTGCATATCCCTGGGGCTGAGATTTCCTTCTATTTTTATTCTCTATATCCTGGTCTTGCCTTTCTTGCTCTGGAGACCCGTCCAGAGTTTCTGGTCCACTGAGAACACCTGCTCTTACTTTCCCACCTGGTTATGCATTTATTGGGCGGGTTGTTGGCTGATCTTTAATAGCTTTGCTGTCACTTCACAGGGCACTAGACGGAGAGGTAGGGGGTACTGACTCATGTGTTCAAACCACCTTCTGGAGTCAAATCTCCACATGTGTTTGTGAAAAGTAATAAAGCCCAAGCTCAAAGACCAGTGGAATGACGATGCTTGAACTCATGGCCTTGAACACTTGGGTGACTTTTTCTCCCAGGTGCCTCGTATTGTGTCATATGGCATCAGAGTTTTGCTAATCTGTTCTTGCCTGTGTTTCCTTCACTGGGAATAAACTTGTAAAGGTAGAATCATTACGGTTAACAGTAACAATAAAATCTCCAAAACAGAGGTTACAGTGCTAACCGTGGTGTAAAACATGTGCACAGCTTATTCCAAATCTGAAGGTAAGGGGATAAAAGTGAGAAAAGGTAGGCCCTAGAAGCGATACAGGAGCACCCATGATCTCCACTAGCAAAGAAGGCCTCAGTCTGTCAAGCAAATTTATCCAAAATCATATCAGCAAACACACAATGGAAATGCCAAGGAGACAACCGGTTCTCACCAAGCTGCTTCTCTCGATCATGGGCGAAGGCAGAGGCGTTCCGGACACTGGGGTGGACACTGGGGTCTTAATTTCTTCGATCATATTCATGATTTTCTCTGGTACTTTGGTGGCATCACCACACGTTTCCTGCCACTTAGGCAGTTTGGAATTGATCAATTCTGCAGACTACAAATTCAAAAGAAACAAAACCAAAGACAAAGTGTATACGGTTGGAAGGGCTGACAAAAATCACATCAGATAATACCACTAGCGTATACTGGCTTACTGCCAGAAGCGTGGGAGCCCTGAGTGAGATTCAGCGGGGAGCTTAAGCATCTACGGGTGTCTGCTGTCTCTTACTTGCTGAGAAGGATGTAGGTTCCTGTTCCAAAGGAATTTACCATCCCCCTCAGTGTGAATACGGAGTTAAGACTAATGTAAGGATTGTGTATGATTAAGAACAAGTTCAAAAACTAAAAGGGAAGGGTCACGCAGTCTGTATTAATCCCCACTGTTCTCCCAGTGGCCCCCCAAATGTCAATCACTGCCGCCTTCCTCTTACTCCGACAGGAAGCACCTCCGGCAGAGTGAAAGGACCAGGAGTGTACCTGACCCCAGGGAAATGGGATGTACGTGTTGGAGAAGTGAGCCGGATCTGTCCCGGGGAGTTCCTCTGGGGGGCCGAGGGGCCAGAGGCAGAGTGTGGTGGGCTCCTCGGAGTCAGGGGCTATGCTGAGGGGATGCCCTGGCCAAGGCCAACTGGGGCTCTGGGGCAGGTAGACCATGGGCTTGGCAGAAAAGCGGGGCCGTGGGGCCAGGAGATGCAGAATGACAGCGATGAGGCAGGGGAGTCTGTCCCCGGCTCCCTCGAGCCAGGCTCTTCTTCTTACAACTGGACTCTCAGAGCTCCCAGGAGCCTTTCAGAGAACCCCCTTCCCAGGGCAGCAATCCATTTGGAAAAAAGAAGCAGGGGACCTTCCTTGAAACAATTTTCCCAGCACTCACTCTGTTCTCACCCAGACTCTGTGTTCATCAGGCATGGGCTGGGGGGCTGATGTAAGTCCTAAGAGAGGGCAGACCCCTCTCCTTGCACCACCTGTCCCCTGCCTGTGACCCTGACAAACTGAGGACCAACTGCTTTGGCCTGTGTCATCCAAGGACCACTGCAAGGTCTGGGAAGAGGGAAGGCACAAAAGCGGTTTTCAGAGGGTTGAAAAGACTTCAGGTACAGCAAGAAGTAGATGTGGCTTGTGTCACTCTGAAAACATAACTGGGACTCAAGGATAAGTGTGAGGAAGACGGCCAGCAACTAGGGCTCTCTGGAAGCAGGCCACGTTGCTCAGGACACGGTGAGTACCCCCTCATGGGCAGGGTGTCGCCAACAGAAGAGCACTTCGAGGTCACTTCTGTCCTTCTCGAGCCTGTGACCTGCCCCAGGAGGACGCCCTCGCCTCAGACACTGACAACTGCTGACACCAGTACAGATGCAGTGCTGACAAAAGTCACCATGACTGCAGCATTTCTTGCCTTCCCTGTAACAATTTGAGACCCTAGGTGTTTGGATTTGGTAGCTGAATACTCCTTAAAGTTGCGAAAACTTCATGGAATATGTAACTTATGATACATGCAGACATACAAGACCAAGCACCACCCCCCTGCCGAAAAGAGGAAGTTGTCCTATATTCAAGCTCTTACGAAGCTTCTCACATCATGGAGTGCTCTCTAAATTATTTTATTATGAATAACAATGAATATTTGACCTCAATCAATGCTAGTTTTGGATGCTCACATAAACCCAACAGAATTCATAATTTAAAAAAAAAGAGGAGAGGAAATTTAACACTTAAAATTTTTTTTTTTAAAAAAGAGCGATTTTTTTTTTAATTTTAACTTTTCTGGGGGGTAAGGAGGTAACTAGGTTTATTGATGTATTTTTTAATGGAGGTGCTGGGGATTGAACCCAGGACCTTGTGCATGCTAAGCACGCATCCTACCACTGAGCTATACCCTCCCCCCAACACACGTTTTGTGATGATTCCTGGGGGTATAGCCTCACAACTGCATGTGCTGAAGGGGGGCAATAAAGCCAATCGTGCAGCTGATGAGATCCTGAACAAGCACACACCTTGAAGAGGAGTGAAAAAGTAACCACGACCAAGGGTCCTGATGCTGTGGATGGGGTCTGTGGCCTGAGACAGAATTTCCAGTGACATCATCTATACAGACCCCCAAGGTGAGCATCTCAGACCACCCAGGCGGGGTGGATGGGGCCTGCTGGGACGCACCCGTGGTTCTGAAGACACGGATGCTGAAGATGCATCAGAAAGAGTCTAAGAAAATCTGACTCGTAGGTGAGAAAAGGAAAAAAGTGCCATTTCTCAGTTACTGATTAAATACAGATATGTTACTAGACTTTACATCATAAGCAGACATCTGACCATTTCATCTGCATTTCTGAAAGTTTCCATATTCAAGTTGGCCAAAAATTATTTCCTTGGAATCTTTTCATGGGCAAAATAGGGCCATTGCTTTATTTGGGGGCAGGTGTGGAAGGCGAAGCATTTCCACACGAATAAAGTGAGCCCACGCAACACAGCCCGCCGTCACACCCACCTGTAAGTGGTAATGGTGTATGTGACTTGCGAAGCTACAGTGTTTGTCGACCAGAAAGCAGAAGCGCCTTTTCTCTTCAAGGAGAGCCTCTTTGCAGCCATCTGCAATAAATTTCTGGATTTCATTCTGGCGAGAAGTAATGGTTTCTACGTACTAGGAAAATAAATAATAATTACACAAGTGTGACATGAGGAATCAAAGACCGACGTTTATCTCTGCCATCTGTACACTTGGTTTATTTTGATAATGAAGCAAATGCTACACGCAGATAAACATTCGACAAAGTAACAAAGCTGGAGCCTGACCTGAGCAGGTACCACCATTGTCATTCAGACCTCTGACTCATGTGTGGGGAGAAGCTGCCACAGGCCTTACATTCCGCTAGGCAACTTGCACAAAAAACATTACTTTGTACTCTGGGATATGATAGTGTTCCTTCAGAAAATCATGGGCTGGGGAACCAGAGCGTTCCAGTTCAAATCCCAGTTCCAAGTGCCAACCACATGACTTAAACCAAGCCTCCTCCTTCCCATCTGTGAGGTGAGGACAGTCATGCCTACCCATGCTGGCCCCGACCCTCCCTGAGTCAGGAGAGAAAATGCCAGTGCTTTTAGGAGGCCGCTGACTACTAATTCTCAACCCCGGGGAACTCTGCGGCCCTCGGCTCGTCCCAAGCCCCACTTGCATGCGGCTCCAACAGCAGCAGGACAGGAGGGGGGAGCACAGGCCGGCGGGGGCAGCGCGCCTCCCGTGAGCCGTGCGGACCGTCAGCCCAGGCAGAATACGGCAGTGCCGGGAAGCTCACCTCGGTTTCTTTGTGTTCATATTTGAGTGCATTTCGTCCTCCTTGACTTTTCCTTCTGATCTTCTTCAATTCAGCCTGAGATTTCTCCAAAGAATCTAATTTATTCTTGTGTTCTGCTTGGTATCTTTTGAGAGTTGCCTGTAAGTTAAACGTCCCGCTTGTCTTACTGCAGCGCCACGCACACTGTCAGGCACTTACTTTTGCTAAGTGGCCACTGCGCGTGGCGGCCCCAGGGAGCCTCCGACAAGCACCCTGCTCACCCGCACCCTCACTGCGCGCCTCTGCCCCACCTCCCTTCAACTCCGGTGTTTGTGGCGTCCTCTCTGCTGGAGCTCCCTGTCTACGTGGGCCCTGACCAGAAGGGCAGCTCCTCTCAGAGGACAAGTGTCGTTTCTTTTATTCCCTTTTTTCCTCCAAGGTTTTTGGACACTGGGTGGTCAGTAAGTGCTTTGGTGAATAAATAAACAATCTTAAATCATATGTTCCTGTTTTATGACTAAATGATTTCAAGAAACAGAATGAACAGGGGCCATCTCTTGTGGTGATTTGGGGTGTGGCGAAGCAGGGGCTTTTGGAGTCTAACAGACCTTGGTTAGGATTCTGGCTTCACCCCTCCTTTTCTCTGTGACCTTAGCAATTATTTAATTTTCTAAAATATCGATGTTCACCCTCTAACCCATACAGCGAGGACAGTAAGAGTGCCCATGTTACAGAGATCAAATTTCTACGTGGGTGGAAGTCAGGTGAGGTCTGGAGGCACCTGGCATCGCAGCCCCGGGCAGGCTGGGTACCCCCTGGTGCAGGGAGCACACGCACGTGGGGGCGGCAGGGGTGCAGGGTGACCCACGCCGCTCACGGCCACGCCGGGGTCTCATTGAGAAGAAAGGAGGCTCAGGGGTGGGTGGGGGGCCACAGAAAGCGACTGCTCTACATCAGACAGGGAGACAGAAGGAGCTGCAGCCGACGGGCCAAGTGGAAGGAGAACTGCGGGGTGGACAGTGCGGGGGCGGCCTCTGACGGGGACCCAGGACCCCCAGATGGTGGGTGTCCTCGTGCATGGCTCCACCCTGAGGTGCTGGCCTGTGAAAGCACAGCTGCACCGACACAGACGTCACCCACATATCTATGTTCTTTGAAGACAGTGCTTTCCAGAAGTGTATGATTCTGGTGCTATTTCTTTTCAACGCTTCTTAGTAACGATCCCACGTGTTAGCAAAAACCAGCTCACTTAGCCCGAAGGGGTCTTGCCGGTGTTAAGCTCTGTCCATCTTCGCTGCTGCTCCTCCAGGCTCAGCCATCGGGCAAGAGCAGCCCCCCACCCCTGAAAGCTGGGCCCCCCGCCCTGGGCTGCCTCTGCCTGCCAAGCCCCCGGGGACGGAGCAGACTGGGTACTCACGTTCATGTATTTGACATCAAGTTCTGTCTTCTTCTCCAGCTCACGTATAATCTCTTTATGGAACTTTTTGAACTGTTAACGCAAGGACATAAAAAATTCATACCAGACTTGAGACTTGAAACAAAATAAAGTTCAAAAATAAAATAAGTATATTTGGTAAACATAAAAACAGCTCACGTACATTTTCATCCAGACTCTCGTTTAGTTTCTTGTGGGTACTCGAAATCTCTATGAGAACACGGCCTGTGAACAAAACCAGATGCGTTGGGGGAAAGGCGTTGTGTGGTTTTTGTGAGGATATTAATAATGGGAAAGGAGGTAGAGGGGCGAAGCACAGCCCATCGCAGCCCGCAGAGCAGGTGAGCACCAGGCCCCGTGGCACCGGGAACACTGACTGCATCCCCCTGGGTGGGGTGGGAGGGCTGGGCTGGGGTCCCAGACAGACACAGTGATAGCAAATTTACTCTCCTACATCGTTCGTCGAAGGAATGCCATCTCTGTCTTCAAACTCACACTGTTCTGTGTATATTTACTCATTTTCTAAGCTGAATCCAAGTTATCAGGTTTAATTTTTAAATTCTCTTACAAAAGATTATCTTGGTCAATATAGTAACTAACTATAGGAACAAGTGACTTTTTAAAATCTAATTCCCTGGGTAATCTGATTCAGTGTCAGGCATAAAAGATAAAGGGTATTTTCTTTTTCTCATATGAGTTCTTGTCTCATTTTGGAAAACATTCACGCCACGGGAACCTGCAGCAGGGACAGTGTCCTGCCTCGCGTCTCCTGGGACTAACCGTTCTCTGAGACAACTACACAGGAGAGAATGTTCCAGGACAAAGCAGCCGGACGGCCACTTGATTTGCAAAACAAGTGTCTTGGAGTTTGTGGCAGAGGCCTGCACCTCTGTTTCTGAACTCTAACAAAAACGAACAAGAGCCTCTCTCTGCCAGTTTATCTATGGGAACCAAATGGGTCTGATACCTAAGAACTGGGAGAAAGAGAATCATTTGGAAACACCACCAAATCAGACCAAACAGCAACAAAACGTGCTGGGTGGATCATCCTGCAGTTCAGTAGAGATGAAAAGGAACTCTGGGTGAACTGAAAGGCTGTAGATGAGGCAGAATTAAAACCACGACTATGGTCCATGTGGGGAGAGAGAAAAAGGTCACCGATGACACTGCGGCTTCAGTTAGCACCTCTGTGCAAATGACTCAACTGCGCCCAGTCCCCACATCTGACTCTAAGGAGGCCGGCCCAGCCTTTCCCTTCAATCTTCAGACTCAAAAATTAACCCCCCTCAACCCCGAACACACCCACCCAGATGCCCCACTAGGCACCTCCTATGCAGCATGTCTACAAGCTGCTAATCCCAGCTCCTGGCTGCCAGCCAGCCAGTCATGAGAGGTCAACTCCTCACCTGCAGGTCGTACGCAACAACTCATTTCCCTGCGCCCGCGAGCATCACCTGGGCCACGTCCAGGGTGGAGCCATGCCCTTACTCATCCCGCTGCCTGGGGCAACAAATGTGCCAGCCCTTCCCTGCCCGGGAGAGAGGTGTGTGGGACGGACATGTGAAGTCTGTCTTCACTCAACAACCTGTTCTGTCAGAGGTGGGGAGGACTTCCCCAGTCCCCCTGCCCCACCATTTAAACCTGCTGGGTGGACCTCTGAGGAGCCCCTCCTCTTTCAAGCTCTTATTTCTCATGACTCCCAGCTTGTACTCTTCTGGTCCTCTCCCTCACAGGGACCCTGGATCAGGATCTTTCCAAAGGCAAATGCAAAATGTCACGCCCCTCCATGGCATCCCAGATAAACCAGCTCCTCAGCCTGAAGCCCACCACGAACACTGTTGCTTAAACTAACCATGGTGGGTGGGGGGACAGAATGTCTTGTAAGGCTACAACCACACAAGGTTACAGGTACATGTAAGTCCCCGAGCACCATGTGATTCTAGGCACCTCTAACAAAACACCTTGCTGGATAAACGCCAGTGAGGGCAGACACGTCCCCAGCACTCACGGTTCCACCAGCCAGGGTACAAAGGTACCCACTCCACAGCCTTAGTGACTCTGACTTCACCTACCCCATAATTAAGTTCCCCTAAAGCTCAACAGGAAACAAACAAACCAGAGTTCTCCACAAGGGAAGCCTTTATGTGACCAAGAATATGATTACAGTAATATGTCATTTCAGATATTGAAATAATCTGAGTTACCTTCACATCTATTTTAAACCCATAAATAACTCCAGGCTGGAGATGACAAACAAACAGCAACAACGAAAACCACTTCAATTATCTGAAAAATCAAGCACCTTATTCCTGGCAAGTCAGATCTACTTTAGAAAAGTCTAAAAATAAACAGACTCAGACACAGAAAATAAACTTATGGTTACCAAAGGGGAAAGGGGTGGGGAGGGATAAATTAGGAGTTTGGGATTAACAGATAAATACTACTTTATATAAAATAGATAATCAGCAAGGACCTACTGTATAGCACAGGTAACTATATTCAATATCTTACAATAACCTATAATGGAAAAGAATCTGAAAAGAATATATATATTATTATATGTATGGGTGTGTGTGTGTATCTGAATCACTATGCCGCACATCTGAAACTAATACAACATTGTAAATCAACTACACTTCAATTTAAAAAAATCTAAAAATATTTTTGCTTGAATCATCCAGGCTAGAAGCAAAGTGTTCACACTTTTTTTTTTCATATGGCCATGAATTTTTTTTCTCCAACCTTATATAACGAGGGCCTCTGAGAAACATGTTGCCAAAACAAAAATATGTGCTTGTGCGGTGCACCGGTGAGCGCCAGCCAGCACTGCTGATAGCCTGGGGCCCCGGCCACGCCGCAGCCCTCCCCGCTCTTCCCCTCCTGCTCAGGGTTTCTCCCCACGGGCACGGGCGGCTGGATGGAGAGGCCCAGTGAAACAGCCCATTCACTCTGCGGGCAGGAGCGGAACCCCTGCCCATATCCCTGTTACTCCTGTCCCTCACAGTTTGTGGAATCCAAATGCCAACATCATAGCAGCAGCCACTGAGTCCTCAGCCATGAAAAGGATTAAAAAAACATCTTTACTGTGATTTTGCAAGCTGCCAAAAGTGTATCTTGAAACAGAAAATGAAAACAGCCTTTATGTTCAATCAACAGAAGTTTACTCTTAAATACAGCAAGTGTTACTTTATGTCTGAAATGTGGTATCACGCACGTTTGAGTCTCAGCTCTGTAACCTTCTTTTTCATAAATTACATTTGGGAAGAAAAATTTTTGAGAGCAGAGGGTGGAGTGGAGAAAGCACAGCCCAGATTCTAATGGAGCAGAACTAAACAAACGCCCAGACAGGACTCAGCATGTTGCTCCCAGAAATCACAGCACCGCATGTACTGGATCAACCATTTCCTTTTTTTTTTTTTTCCTTTTAGGTTTTGAGTCAATATTTTGGGAAGAAACTCATAGTAAGTACAGTAGCGTGACTCAGTCTGAATAAATTATATTCTTAAATGGCAATATTAGAGGAATTTAAGTATATACATTATTTTTCAAAACCATGAACTTGATGCAACTAAAAGTCAAAGTCTACCATCATTTCCCCCCTAAAATTCATACAAATAAAAGCTACTGGCAGTATCATTCTAATTTAAGGAATTAGGAACAAATATGTCCAACTTTTTGAACAACACTGCATAAAAATATGCATTTAGCCAATAGACAGTATGGACTTTAAAAGCTAAACAACAAAAATTAAAGAGTATGGTATGAACACATAGAAAGTTTTCATCTGAAATACAGATTAGTCATTGGACTATTAATATTAAATTTTCAACTAGATAATTCTTCATCAATTCACAGTATAAATTTAGAGGAACCAGATGGAGACTACTAATGGACTCAAGCAGCACAGAACATGTAGGCGTAAACATTCTTTTTCATTTATACTTGATCAGGGATAATCAGAACATTCATCATTTTCAGAGAGCACAGAGCAATGACTGAGTCACCCACTATTTCCTCCATGTGACTTCATGTGGAATCAGATGATAAAATGACATGGTGGAAGCCACTCTACTAACTGGCCTCAAGTTATACTATATGGTTTAAATTAAAACTGATAAAAAAAAAAGTCACTGGAAAAAGGATATACTCTTCTGAGTTTCCCAAATATCCAGTGTGACACCGAGAAAATACAATGGAAGTAAAAGCAGACTACACGCAGCTGGGACACGTGAAATACACAAGCATGTACTCTACTAGAGTCACCGACACCGCGTTAAGTACAGAGGCACATTAACAACCACCTACACGCGACCCAACTTGAAAGTCTTCGCTGGCATCTAAGAATAGCTCTCCATTGCCGTCCACCTGAGTCCCTGGGAGCAGCTGGAGGTGCTCTTCTCCGGTCAGTATCAAAACTGTACATGTAAACAACGTGCATGGAGGCATAATGCCAAATAAGTGAGAGGGTGTGCACTGCAACCAACACTCCTCCAAAAGTCTAGTTTCTGACTTAACCAGCCATAGTTCTGTAATGATTCTACCACTCATTATGATTTATCTCATCTAATGAAAATAAGTGAGACCAACAGAGGTTATATAACAGAATTATTCCCAAGTTTTTTCATTGTCAGAGACGAAAGTGAAGCCAAGTAACAACTGACTTTGATAAGATGCATGCTGTAATCTCTCGGGTAGACACTGAAAGAATAAAGCGCATATAACTATCAAGCTAACAGAGAGGGGAAAAATAAAAGTCAAAATGAGGACCAGAGAAGAAACGAACAAAGATAGGAAGCAAAAAGTCATTACACTGAATGTAAAGGGACTATACAGTCCAATTAGAAGACAAAGATTGTTAGGATTAAAAACAACAACACTACCCAAGTATATTCTGCTCAGAAGAGGGACACCTTAAACATAGGGATACAGAAAAGTAAAAGTATGGAATAAGATACACAGCAGACACAACCCAAAAGAAAGCTGATGTATGTTAAAATGAAACAAAGATGACGAAGTAGGCAAAGAGGACAAGAAGCATCAATAGAGATAAAGCAGTCATTTCATAACGGCAAAAGGTTCAATTCATCTGGAAGACAGAAAAATTTGTATTTGTATGCATCTATACATATTTTAAAAAAACTACATTATAAAAAGGAAATACATAAATCATAGGAGGCTTTAATATGCCCCTTTGAGTAAAGTGATAGAACAAGCAAACAAAAATA